ATATATATAAAAGTGTGTTTAGGGCTATAAAAATGAGTCAAGACTGTTGTGGATTGGACTAGGCTTGTTTATGTTATAAGTTGATCATAGCCGACTCGAATTTGAGGTAATAAGCAGTCATATTTATTCTATTTTATTTATTTGGAGGAATATTTTGACGGGTAATAAATAAGTTAATAATTCTAATGAGTAATTGGTTGAACATATAAATTTCTTAACAAATAATCCTACAAATCAAAATAAAATAAGAGATTGAATTATTTTTTAATTAATATTGACTATACAAGTTGAAAGTATGTTTGCATGCAATTAAATACTATAAATAAATATTAACTAACTAATCTATTGAAAAAAAAGGAATTATATTAAATTATAATACATTTTTTTATAAATTAATAATTAAATAAAATCTAAATATCTTATTAAATAATAATTAATATAAAAATAAGATGTAATAGAACTTACTATATCTTGAACATTTAATAAGTTATTTTGTGGAACAATAAATATGTTTATTCATAAATATAATTAAACTATTATAGAAATAAAAAACATGAAAAATATCTATATTAAAATTATATATATTTTTTTTACAGTCGACATTAGGGGATAAATTAGAACCTTATTTTTATATTATTTATTTGGTGGTTTAGCAGCACTCAGAGGCTGTAATGACCTGCATTAGTTTTTATTTGGAAGATTTACAAGAATACCACTCAATTCCTATATATTTACACATCTAATTCCTAAACTCCAGTTTTTACATATACATGCATGAAAATGTGTGTTTCACTTTCTTAAATTTAAAGAAGCGATATTTTTAATGTGATATAGAAGACTTAAGAGGTATCAATGTAAAAAAGTAAAGCTTAGATATTAAATATTGATGTGTGTTAGAAAATTCACGGCGATAGAGTAATGGATTATGGTCTCGGCATTGCATGAGAATTCAACACACAGTCAGGTGAAATAAAACAACTAATAATGACATCAGAAGTTTTTATTTGAAAAAAGAAAAATCAAGGGGTCAGATTCAGTTGTAAATATCCACTATAAATTGATGATTACAGAGACTAACTCTTCCACAGACGGGAAAATGTTAATAAATTTTCTTAAGTTACAGAGTTAACTGACGGCGTCTTACAGGTGGTGATCGAAGAGGATTAGCGGTGATTGACGGTGGTTAGCGGTGGGCGATGATGACCGATGGTGGTTAACGATAACAGTAGTGTTTGATGGTGGTTGATGGTTGTCGACGACTGCCGACGAAGATCGACGAGTGTCGAGGACTGTCGACAGTGGTCTATGACATCGAACGAGGTCGGCGGTGGTCGACGGCTGCCTCAAGTTCTTTCTCAAAGCTCAAGTCCCCTCTCATGTGAGGGATAGAGCTCTATTTATAATGTTCTAGTTGAAATTAATATGAACCATTATAATTGGACGGTCCAGAAAGCTTCCTTCGATTAGACGACATCTGATGGGCATTTGAGTGCATTAACAATGTCAGAATTGAGCAATCTTGGGCTTGTTAGATTCATCTTGTCAAGACATTTGATTCAAATATAAACTCACCAGATTCGGCATTCGTTTCACCTTTCAATTGTGTTTGGAAATCTTTCAAGAGAGGTTTAATGATTTGATCTTGGCTTGATTTTACTCGGATTAAACTAGTTTGTATATCATTAGGTTTGTCTCATCGAGCTGCCAGTTTGACCATAAGTTTGTTGAAGTTGAAGTTTTGAGTGACTCTTAATTTAAGTTTGAATATTTCTTGTTTAAAAGATTGTATCAAGATTCTTGCAAGATGATTAAATTTGTTAGTGGCGTATCATTTGTCCTGCTATTTTCTAGCGAGACCATTTTAATCGTCCGAAAATATTCAGACCTAGAGATTTTTTATTTTTTAACGGACATACGAATGTGTGTGGGTCTACATATATATATGATTCTAATACTAGAAAGATATTTAAAGTTAATGGGCATCGGTTGAAACATTATTATGAAGGGCACATATCGCAATTTAAAGAAATTTTAATGTTAAGTCAACCCAACTAATCAAATGGTACGTCGGACTGACAACCTTAAACCAAGCGCTTCATGGGAGGCAAAACATTCAATATATATATATATATATATATATTACTAATTTTAGAGCAAATAAAAGCAAGAATCAACACAAATATAGAAGAAAACACAGATATTTAATAAGGTTTGACAAGTATGTCTACGTCCTTGGGAGCAGAGCGGCGACTTTTCTTTTAATTCAGAAAAAAAAAGTACAAGATCCCGTTAGGGTCACAAGCGTACAATATGTAAATACAAAATTACCCATGCACCGTACCGCGTGAGTGTTGCCCCCGCACTCCCAATCCACATAACGAAACTCCCACGATTGGACTGATGCTTATGCTCTAATCTGCTACACTCGCCCGCTCTGCTCCATTCCACTACAATTTCTGTCCCTTATCGAATATATGGGTCATATCTAACCATATAAATAGCAATAATTTAAAATTTTACATATTATAACAACCAAATTTATCTCAGCTGGTTGTTCGCTTTGCCCGAGGAAAGTCGTAGGTTCATTTCCTATGCGAGGGGACAAATAACAACTATTTTTTCTTTATATATATTTATATATATAATGAGGAAATTTTTCAAGCAAGAATTTCAGTTTTCTCTCTCTTTTCTTTATAACAAGAAAATCTGAAAAACCAAATAATGAAATATGAAAAGGATTTCAAATTTATCTCTCTCCCTATTTAATGACATAGATTAATTTTTGTCATAGATATAAGGCAATTTTTAGTCTATAAATAAGACAATGAGAGGA